TGCCACTTCAGCTTACTAATCCGTTGGCCTATGTCGGTTACTCTGTTTCTACTGCGGATATACTCATTTCTAAGTTTATCACGCAGAGAAACTCCGAGCATAGCCCTCTCCATAGCTCGCTGAGCGACCTTGAGCTTCCTCATACGGCCAGCAGTGAAGGACCACGTCTCAGTTCCGTAAGTCATCACTGGCAACACGCACTGGTTGTACAATTTCGTTTTAAGGTTTTGAGGTATGTCTGACGAGAAGATGTGTCGTAGCTTCCCGAACGCTGCCCAGCCGAGTTGAATCCGTCGATTGACCTCTCGGTCGAAATTGGACTTACCTAGTCGGACTATTTGTCCCAGGTAAACATACTCGTCAACAACTTCGAGCTTAGTGCTCCCAACAACTACCGGCATAGGTGTGACATGGACATTAAACATAATCTTTGTTTTGTCCATGTTCATCTTAAGACCTATCCGTTGGGAGACACTATTGAGGTCATTGAGCATAGTGCTTAGGTCCTCCAGCGATTCTGCCATAAGGACTATATCGTCGGCAAATCGAAGGTGAGTGATGTACTCGCCATTGATGTTAATACCGTATCCTTTCCATTCCAGAAGTTTGAATACGTCTTCCAATGCAGCGGTGAAGAGTTTCGGGGATATAATACATAACATCACCCTGTCTTACACGTCTCTGCAATTGGATAGGTTTCGTACTCTGGTTCTGTACTCGGATAGCCATCGTAGCTCTACTGTACAAACACTTCAGCACTTCGATATACCGACAGTCAACTTGGCACCGCTGAAGGGACTGCAGCACCGCCCAAATTTCGACGTAATCAAAGGCTTTCTCATAGTCCACATACGCCAGACATAGTGGCAAATTGTACTCTTCGGACTTCTGTACAATTTGCTGAAGGGTATGTATGTGGTCTATGGTGCTAAAGCCCTTTCGGAAACTGGCTTGTTCGGGAGGCTGGAAGTCGTCAAATCTGCGCGCGAGACGATTCGTAATGACTCTCGAAAACAGCACGTAGACGCGGCTCAGAAGGGAAATCGGTCTGTAGTTCTTCAAGAGAGCGTTGTCACCTTTCTTGAAGAACAAGACCACCGCACTTCTGCTCCACGCCTCCGGTGTAATGCCACAATGGAGGACGGAATTAATTTTAATTTTATTGTTGTATGTTATCCGTGCCACTTAATGTTAATTTTTAACTTTTATCCCTTAAAAGTTGTATTTATGATCGAACAATCATAAATAGTGATCGAAAAAACGATGTTTAGTAAAAAATAATTAATGTGAAAGCGCCAGGATAGTCCGCAAAATTCAAATTTTCTTACGTTTTTGTAATTTGCAGGTCAATGTCAGGTTGTATGTTATACAAAATATGATTCGCAACCGTAACAAATACGTATTTACAGAATTATAATCATTATAATCATTAATACAACCCTCTAAGTTCGTATAATTCCATTGTATGGCTATTTCCAGAAAAACTCATACAATCCGTATTGGTGAATTTAATGATTATAGTTAATAGATATTATTATTATAATTGGGGTTATCTATAAAGTTTTCTCATCTGGTTGGGCAATATAAATATATAATTGTAAATAAACACGGTAAACGTACATAAATATCAATAAAATAAATACATAAAAAATACATAAATATATAAAAACCCAACCAAATGGAAGCCCTCAGCAGGGGAGACCAAACGGCCGAGGGTTAGGGCGAAAGGGAAAGAAACCGGCGAACGATGCGGGCGGTATCGAGGAGCACCGCCTTCTGCATTTGAGCTTGGAGCGGTCCGTCACGGAGTCCCAGTCGCCTCAGATGACCCGAGAGGCTGACTGGAATTAACCCGTTCGCAGAGACGACTACAGGTATAATTTCGGCCGGCAATCCACCCCACATGTCGGTCACCTCGTGAGCCAGGTCCAGATATTTTGTTAGTTTATCTGTTTCGGCTTTCACGAGGTTCTCGTCATAAGGAATGGTAATGTCGACCAAAAATATCCTTGACTGTGCCCAGTCCATCAGCACAATATCAGGCTTATTCGCAAGAATAGTCCTGTCTGTGATGATGGCCCATTCCCAGTAGAGCCTGGCGCGGTCATTTTCGAGCACGGCTTCCAGCGAGTATTTATAATACGGCAGTTTCTGATCTACGAGACCGTATTTCAGAGCGAGTTCCTGGTGTAGAATCCTGGCTACTAAGTTGTGCCTGTGCAAATACTCAGAGTTAGAAAGCGCCGAACAACCGGAGATGACATGCCTAAGTGACTCACCGGGATGGCGACAAGCTCGACAGATGTCAACGATGCTATCCTTTAGGATGTATCTCCGATAATTGTTGGTTTTAATAACCTGATCCTGTATCGCACAGACAAAACCCTCGGTTTCCCCAAAGAGGTCACCGAAACGTAGCCAGTGGAGGGAGGCGACTGTGTCTACGAAAGGCTCATGTAGAGCCTTGTAGAACCTCCCGTGGAGCTCCTTCTCCTTCCATACGGTCTCCCGGTCGGAAATGCCCTGTACTGCCGGGTCTTGCCATTGCTCGTTGGCTAAGGATAGAGGGGTAAGTCCTTTATCACAAGAAATAACGTCCCTATAGTATGGATCATCCGCTCTCGTCAGAAAGTAATTACGGAGGCTGCACACTTCGCGATTATGCATGGTAAGCGCGCTTAAAAAGCCGCGTCCACCATGCTTCCGCGGCAAGTACAGCCTCATTACTGACGATCTCGGATGATGCATCCTGTGGGACTTCATAATAGTGCGGACTTTTCTGTCCAGAGCGTTCAGTTCGGTCTGAGTCCACCTGAGTATGCCAAAGGTATACATGAGAACAGGCATGATCCAACCGTTATATGCGTGCGTCTTATTCACACCGGACAAAAGGCTGTTAAGCACTTTGGTCAAGCGTGCATAAAACAAATCGCAAACTGACTGTTTCATACCCGCCTCATCTACACCGATGTTCTGTGACATACCCAGGTATCGGTATGTTTCAGCCTCGGAAAGGGTCTTTATGTTGATGGGCATAGATAAGTCTATGCCCTCAGAGTTAGCAACCCTTCCCCTTTCAACATGGAGGACCGCACACTCCATTCCGTCCCCAGCTCCATTCCAATAGTACTACTAAAATCACAAGTGATGTTTAGAAGCTCCAAAATATGGGAGCGACTGGAGGCGAATAACTTGGGATCATCCATATAGAAAAGGTGGGTCACTTTTGTCTCTCCTTTCCGAAGCTGAAATCCCCTTCCGAAGTCCTCCAGTAAGGTACTGAGAGGGTTCAGAGAGAGGCAAAACCAGATTGGACTCAAACAATCGCCCTGGAAGATACCCCATCTTATCCTTATGCGGCTTTCCGCATCCGTCATCCGCTCGCCTAGATGACAAAGGACTGTACTCCACTGCCCCATACAACTGCCATACACTCCCCGAGGAAGTCTCTAACTGTACAATCAACCTTGTACAGCTCGAGGACCCTCTTTAGCCATGTATGGGGCACCGAGTCGAATGCCTTTCTATAGTCTATCCAGGCGGCGGAGAAGTTCCGACGGTTGCGTTTAACCACTTTGCCAACGACCGCGTCAATGAGGAGTGGTTCCTTGGTTCCACGACCACCGCCCCGGCATCCATTCTGAGCACACGACATCACCTGGTTTAAATCCAGGTGACGAATGATTCGCATACTCAAAATGGATGTCAGTGTCTTATATATGGTGGGTAAACACGTAATGGGGCGGTATTTGCTAGGGTCTGTGGAATCCCGGTCTTTAGGAACCAAATGAGTGATCCCAGTAGTGAAGAGGCTCGGGAGCAACTTTTGGTCGAGAGCCTCTTGAAACTGTCGGGCGAGCACAGCGTGACACACCACGAACCTCTTCAGCCAGTAGTGATGCAGTCCGTCGAGTCCCGGACTTTTCCAGTTCGGGGCCCTACGGACCGCCTCAGCTACGTCATCCGGCGTTATGATGACGGGGTCCATGGGCGTAACATTCGCACACTCACTCTCCATAACTTCCGTCCAAGGGCCCTCGCTGTGGTTTACGGGCTCTGACCACAGGCCGTGCCAGAATGCGACAGTGTCGGCCTGATTCGGTGCTGAATCCGTTCCACGTACCATTGGCCGCTCCAATGATTCATAGAGCCTCTTCTGATCACTCTGGAAGAGACGATTCTGGTTGAACTGAATTATTATTATTAGATATCTTAATATAAGGGATAAAAGTTAAAATTTACAATAAGGGAGGCAACCTAATGATGAAATTTACTAATAAATAACGAAGAAAATCAAAAATAAAAGATCGAAGTGGGACTAGGTTCATTTTTTTTATAACTGGCTTTACGGCTCTGGGTTTTAGCATTTCTGAGCCTGAAGTTACAATGTATAATTATCCTTCATAGTACACTGCTTTACAATATGTTGATGCATCACATTGTGCAACCCTTGGGAGATTTTGACAGCAACTTGAGCCAGCAGACAGCTGACAGTTGGCGATGGTATCTCAAGGCGCCTAAGCAGACAGACACCTTATCTTGAGAATCACATCACCATCAGAACACTTGTTTTACCATTTCCACGAATAGTTCACATGTGCAGACACTTAATACACAGAATTGCACCACTTTTAAATATCAAAATCCACTTCAAACCATTATTAAACAATAATACAGGAGCAGCAAACCGCCGCCGGTCAAGATCCCACCAAAAAACGGGCTATTTCAGGTACCTCCTATAGTGTAGAGCTATAAAGTATGGTATTATAGACAATGATAGATTTAGTATAAACCATAGATATAGTATTAAACTATATCTATGGTATAAACTGATAGACAATGGAGTATAGAGTATAGACTATAAACTTCAGTCAAATCTTCAATGGCGGACATTCACTGTCGCCTAGACAAAACATTTTAGCACGCGAATTATTTACATAACAACACATTTACTGGATGCTTTAGAACAAAAAGATTAACGAGAATATCCGAAGATCATTATGTCGACAGTCGTGTCGGACTGTTTCACTATTGGCAGCATAGTTGCCACCAAAACTTGCTATAATGAGGAAATAGAAGGAGAGGTTTTAGCTTTTGATCCTCAAACGAAAATGCTAATTCTCAAATGCCCGTCTTCTAGCGGCAATCCAAAGCGTCACGATGTTAACATTGTTAACCTGTCGCTGGTCAGCGACGTGCAAATAAAGAAAGAAGTGACCACGGTTCCTGAGCCTCCGCAGTCTTTGAATCTACACAGACTGAACACTAGAGTTCGGAACTCCATAGAAAATAAGAGAAGATTAGTAAGTATTTATTTTATATTTTTTCATTTGATGTCGGTTAAATGTTATAAAATATGTGTGACGAAATATTTATGGGTATTGCATGGCATAAGTACACTGTTTAAACATTTAGCTGAAAATAGCATGTAAAATAAGCTCGGAGGCTTACACGACAATATCCTAAATTAATGTATTATTTCGGGCACTAAATATTCCACTTAACAATACAAAGAAAGATTCTCTCAGGACTAGGAAGACTGGACTAATCCCCTTGTGTAATAGTGCGCTGTAGGTAAGGTATATCTCTATATGACCAGGTTTTGTACCAAGTAATTACGAGAAAGCGGACCATGGAAGGAGCCAAAGTATTTTTATGACTTGAAAGTATTTTATTCAGCTACTCGCCCCTTCGTGGTATGGCATCGGCCGTACTCCATGGGACACTTACAAGTTATGTGAGATTAAAATTAAAAAATTAAACTTTTTAAAATAAATTCAAAATCAAAATATTTATTTCAAGTGAAACTACCAGTCCAATTTGAAAAATTCTTTTTGTATATTACAGCCACATTCATGGGGAATAGTATAGGCTATCTAGCATTAAGCTATATCACTCAGCTAGCCTTAAATATGGATATTTGTTAAGCAAGTCAGAAGAAAAGGCACTCTCAAAATGTTTTATCCGCGTACGCTGGTGTTATCGTTAGGGATACGTAAATACAATGTTCTAGAAAAATATAGATCTTTACTCCGTCTAAAAAAAAGTCCGCGGTACCATATGTCTATTTCTTATACATAAGGCATAATTAGATATTTTGTGACAAAAAAAATATTGAAAATTTAAAAGTGATTGACGAACAAAAGTTACTTCATCATCAAGACAATTTTATGAAGATAAACTTTGTTCTTTATACCATGTTATTTGGACACATAGTTTAAGAGATAATGTAAAATTAAAATAATTCAATACTTGGCTGGGCCCGCGAACAACACATAATCCCTAGCCGCTCGGTGAGAACTGCGAGAACTGCTCAACCGGGAGGGGGACGGAAAGTGGATAAAACTTAACTTCGCTCTACATCATACATAATATGCCAACAGATAAAAGTACTCCATTAATTATGCCAATTTTTCCATCCATTGCTATCAAATAAAATATTTAAATTGCAATTATAAAATGCTTGAACTAGGTCATGTCGCGCACCTCTGACACGTGATGACGCGGGTGGAACCGCAGGGCACAGCTAGTGTTTTAATAAACATTCAGTTCCAATATCACCAATCCTGATCCACTTACATCAGGGGTGTCTGATTATTTTCTATAGGCTCATTTACAAAATTTACTGAGTACTAGGGGGCCATATGTAAAAAATTTTATATATATATTATAGATGAAAGAAATTAATTGTACCTTTAACCACAAAGCATGTTAGATATATGAATGTGGAAGAACAAGTGCGTCAGGATTGTTCAAAATGGAAGTCTTTTAGTCTCTGCCTGCCCCTCTGGCTGTCATATGCGAGTATATATATGTATATATGTAATAATGGCATCAGCAGTTACTTATGAGCTTACTCCTTACTAAAAGACCTGCAATGGACCTGCAATTCCCCTGGTGCTGTAGTTGTTCATGGGCGGCGGTAGTCACTTACCAAGTAAGCTGCATTTTCTTTTTCCAATCTACTTGTAAGTGCAACGAAGTTTAATTGGCTATAGTGATGATAATGATGATTATATGTGAATGTGATTCTTCTCCGATTGAGCTGACTCATTTGTGCTACATCGTAGCCTTGCCACTATAATACTTAATTTTTCCAGCGATATTGAATTATTATTTGTTTTATCCAATTTTCATGTTTTGAACCTGTTTAGGTATCTGCGCTATCTGCCTGTCTGGATCCCGAGGGCCAAAGACTGTTCCTAGCTATCGCAAGGGTCATCGACGATGTCTCATGGGCCGGTCAGAATATCAGGGTCTATAATGAAGTCACCATCACACCACCATACAAGGTATACAGTTTGTGTGATATCTATATTTCCTAATGTCTTAAGAGTATATCCGGACTGAAAGAAATTTGAAGAATATGTTCTTAACAATCGAATATGTTCTTATTGCTGTTGTGCTGTGCCCAAACATGACAGAAGGAATGAACCTATGAATAATTTACGAAATCCATATTCCAGTGTGTCCTTATCCAAACTAAATCAAATAACAAACTCTGCTCCTTTTGTGTTTTGTTTGTTAAATTTGATTGATGAATGAACTACCCATAATGTTATTATTGGTGTTAATATAATCCCGTGGGTGTCGTAAGAAAAGGAAACAAATCAGGAGATAGGCAGCAGCGTCTTCGTACAACAAGTAAAATAAAAATAAAACTGTAATATCCAACTTACTTGCCAAGCGTGACAACTATGGCAAAATCCTCCCTTTGAGGCAATCTATGAGGGAAGCCTATGTTCAGCAGTGGACTTTTATAGGCTGCAATGGATTTTGTAATTATTTTTATGAGTTTCAAAAACATGGCAACAGTAGATATAGATAGTATTGTAAAAATGTTTGCTTTAATGTCATTATCTAAGGAGAAAACTGAGGAATATCTTTGTATGAAAGAAAAGGAAAAGCAAATAAAATAAGTTTAGTTAGTAATTATTATTAGTAACACATTTATAGCAATTTGCTTACAATAATAATTTGGTGGCCCCATGGTGCAGTGACTTGGCATTAAGTCGCGTCACTGAGGGCTGTGGGCTCGAATCCTGCATGGAACAATTATTTGTATGACCTACAAATAATTGTTCGGGGTCCGCTTGTAATTGTAAAATTAATGTTTGTAAACTGCCTCCACAATTTCGGGCAAAATCGTAATGTGAGGGTAACACAAATTGTTACTAGAAAGGTACCCAACTCAGCATAGTCTTGATACTGACAAAGTACTTATATGCTGAACTTTCGTGAGTCTGTCACATAGAAGACAGATAGGTTTTGCAGTAGAAAAAGTTTTCTTCTTTATTAGTCTATAAAAGTCCTCAGCTGGACCTATTAGAGGATTGTGTCTTGGTAGAGGGACAATCAGTAGGTTTTTGACTGGAGATAGATATTACTTATCCGAGTATAGTATAAGACTGATAGCAAATGTGCAAATCTTAATATTTATATTTTAACTCAGCCAAGGATTTAGCTACACAGACATCTGCTTCTATTGAGCAGTATAATGTTTTTACATGAATTTGAAAGAAAATAGAGGTAATCTCTAGCAAGCATAATAATGCAGCCTACAAATAGTTAATTTTATAATTTCACATAAAAATAATCATAAAAATTGTATGCACCTGGTGCATCAAAATATGCTAGGCATGTTGGGCAAAGAATTAGAAATTGAATTGTTTTATAAATAGTTACAACATACATATTTTTCGTATAACTAAACAGTGGTTGAAAGGTTATAACAATAACATGTTTAATTTTATTAAAGAGAATGTGTTCAGTTGCTTTAACATAGAAAAAAATTTACACGGTGGCTCCTTAATAATCGCGGTACCAGACGTGAGTACTTTTAACACTACTGCCTGTCGCTGGTCTGTGTATTTTAGGTCTAAAGTAAAGAATGGTTATATAAGTTTTTTCTGTGTGACAAATACGCTTACAGTCCACTTAAGGTAAGTGGCTTCTGCAGCCCATGGTCATCTGCAACCGAATTTAAAAACAAGGAAGGTTATAGATACACAGATACACTGTCATGTCTGCGAACCAAGATGGAATGCTTCACAGCCTGTAATTAAAAATGGTACTCTATACCGCTCAGACAAAAACTCCAGTGAAGGCACAGAAGTCCTACCACTTAGTAAGTAGTTCTTTTTGGCATTTCACTTAGTCAACACTGACGGCTCCCACGGGACAACGTTGACTGAAGACGTTTTAAAACACGGGTGCTAAGTTGTATCCACTAGGAAAGGATTTTTGAAAATACAACCCCTAAGAGGGTGAAATAAAGAGTTATTAAATAGTAAGTCGATCTATCTTTTACTTCTCCTTTTTGTGATATCTGTATCATCCCCCTTTCTATTAAAACATATGGATGCTCTATTAGCCTTTGAAATTCAATAAGAAATGTATTTTGTTTCAGGTAGAGAATGTCATAGGCGAGCAGGACTCAAAACCATACAATTACATACGGAAATTCGTAGAAAGACATTGGAAAGATCACCGCGACCATGCGGCCGCCTCACACTCCAATCAGCAGTAACAGCAAATATATACATATACAATATATATTTATATGTTTCTATGTGTTTTATATATCGTAACTGTCTCTTGAATTCTTGGGGAGGTCAAAGGATTTTACTTGAAATTTCAAACAACATCACCAGAATTGTAACAAAGAGCAAACCAATTTATAATATAATTTTGTGGTTTAATCAAAGAATATAAAAGGAAGAAATACGAGCTAAAGAAACTAGAAATTTATGTTGGTACTATATTATTTTTCGACAGCTATAGTTTACGTATTCTTTATTAAAATAGGATATCTAAAACAATTAACAAAACTCAGAAGAAAATTCTTTTTGTAATATCATTAAGGACCAGCTATGATATGACTTCTTTGGCTTCCACAAAAATTAAATCGGTATTTACGATTTTTTCCAACTTGCAACACCGAAATATAGAATATCAACAATTTTATTGTTTCCGAACAGAAAAAAAAATTGATCAAGTAAAAACAACGCGTAAAAGAAATTTGTTTCAATTGTAATAAGTCTATTTCTCGAAACTTGTTTAAAATTTAAATCACTAGATTGGTTTGGCACTATTTTCAACTATTGCCGCTATATCTGTATAAAAATGTTTTTTTTTTTTATTTGTTTTGAGCTACTCCAAGCTTTTGTATCCTCATTCCTATCAACTGTATTGTCATAGTTCCTCATATAAAATTTTGTAAACCAACACTACTAATTTATGCAGTCCTAAAATCCTATTTTCCTTCTTTTGAAATAACATTGGACTTAGTGGCAAAATTTTTACATATTGAAGTTAAAAAAATATCTTTATGTAAAGTATTTTTTTTTATTGTTTATCACGGCAATGCAGTAAACTCTCGATAAAATTTCGAGTTATTATTTTCTATTTATAGTGTATAGTATACTATTTATATAACGTTGGATTAAGTAATGGAAAAAAATATTAAAAAAATGAAAAATTTGTTACTTTGTCTTTTTATTTCTTCTTTTTTATACCAAAACTTATAATGTTGCAGGTTTATATAGTAGAAAAGCTACGTTGCAACTATATTATGGTTGCACAAATGGATCGATTCGACCGGGGTAGGATCGCACTCTCACAGAATACCAGCGTAAAATAGCAGCTTAATGCTGATGTGTTTAGTATGGTGAGTGTAGGGAACCGGAGTGCCTTTTGACTGGTAACGGTGTTCCATATTAATACTTAGGGTGTTCCATATTAGTACAACGCATCTGCATTTTGATTCTTAATCAAGGATAGATTTATATGTGGATAGATTTATACCCTATCCTATACAATATGTAACAAAAACCCTGTGGTTCCCGTTAAGTACGTTATCAGAATCAGTATTCAAACGTATAGAAATAACTTTTTTTTTTAAAAACGAACAATTTTTTTATTTTATTTAAGAAAATATAATTATATGCAAATTGTATGTGGTTTTATTACCTCTGGGGAGTAAGAGGATTGTCAAAGACCCCGCTTTACTTAGCTTTAGCATCGGCTAGTGTAACAGGTAATAAAACCACATAAAATTAAAAAAAATATGATCGAGTTTTTAAAAAAAAGTTTTTTTTTTTATAGGATAAGGGTGACAAAGGAGCACACAGTCCACCTAATGGTAAGTGCTTGCTGCGGCCCATAGACATCTACATCTATCCTCGCTTGCGAATCAAAATGCAGATGCGTTGTCACCCGTGAGGACTAAGATGGAATACCTCATTTCCAGTAAAAAGGGCCTCCGGCCACCTGCACTCACCAAGCGAAACGCAGATGTAAACCTCTACTTCACGCTGGTATTCTGTGAGGTCGTGGTACCACCCCGGTTCGAGCCGGCCTATCCGTGCGACAACAAAAGCTGCCGCGTGGCTCTACCACTGCTCAGCTATTTCTATAGGTTTGAATACTGATCCTGACAACGTACTTAACCGGTTCAGTGCGGATGACACGCCAGGCGTGCCATCGATTACTTTTGTGTGTGGCGTATGTCACAGGAGTCGTGTCTTTTTTTAAGTCGTTATAACTCGCTCAAATTGCTTTTTTGGAAAATTTATCCAAAACAAAATATTATTTTGCAAGTAGTTCATGCCTGCAGCTTCGTTTCCGGCTATTTTGAAAATTTGATATAGTCCGAGAGCTGGCTACGAAAACGTGAACTGATAAGGTGTAGTAACGAATTATATATATAACCTCTCCTTGGTAGCTTATAAGTATAGAGCGAGGCCCGTCAGAACTCTCTTCCGGGGCGGAAGGCGTGGGTGAGCAGTCAAAGTCGTAAATTTTCAATAAGAAAAAAAGATTAGGTGCAGTTCTGAAATTTGGTAGAGTTATAGTTTTTAACTGTAGGAATCTAGGAAAATTATTGTCAGAAGTCTAGGTCGGGGCTTAAAGACTGCCAGAAGTCGACAAAGTTGTAAAGAAATTGTTTAAATTTAAACCGCTTCAGCAACTTCTGGCCATATAATCAATTTTTCTTTACTTAGCCATTATTTAGCCTTCTGACGATATATGTACAGGTTCGGTAAGCTATAAATAATATAAAAATGCAATTGTCAGAACTGCACCTTGTTATTTTAACTCAAAAGTAGATTCGAAACGTTGCTTTCCGACGCGATAGCCGTTTCAGCAACTTCTGACTATATCATCAATTTTTATTACTTAGCCATTATTAAGACTTCTGACAATTTATATACAGGTTCGATAAGCAACAAATAATATAAAAATGCATTTGTCAGAACTGCACCTTGTGGTTTGCCTGCCTGTTTTTATATGGTCTAGTAATTTTTGGTTGGTTATTCCGCCATTTAACGGATAACGTAATTAGAATTTCTCACCCTCACTATACCTATGGAACGAAATAGGGTGACAAATTTGAATACAACCCCATTATACGACATACCCTCACAATAATATCAATCCAAAGAGCTCTTAGATCTTCAAAGCCGAGAAAAAGTTTGTACTTTCTACGATAGCTTCTAATGGATCTTGTAGTCAACTCGACGATAAAACATGCCTCCGAGACATCTATATAACAAAAAAAAAACAACTCACAGTGGTTTTAGTGTTAGTTCTTTGTTGAAGTGAAGACAAACGAGTATGCCATCAGCGAGTGTAATTACAGGTGTTTCAGTCGGCCTTTTCAAATGGGATATATCAGTATCTCTTATGTATATTATCTATGACGTTTAGGTGGCCGTAAACGCGACTTGATCGGTCCCGGGTTCAAATACCGGGTCGGGCCAAAATAATCAGTTATTAGCAGCTCTTATGTCAAGACATTCTTAGAAGGTGCCCAGTGTCAGAAAGATATCAGTGTTTCACCCTCGTGGTTTGGAAAGTACGTAAAGTTGTTGGCCCTGCGCCTGATCTCTCTCCGGTCGTGTCGGCTTACCGACCCATCAGACTATGAGAGGGAGAGAATAGAGAATGCACCTGTGCTTGCGCATACACTCGGGCACTATAATCCAGTCGTGCGCCGATGGCTAGTCTCCGATGATTCTGGCCGAAATGACCGAAATTCGGTCTCGAGAAAATTATTATCTATAGAATATTTAACCTTATTGGTCTGAGAAAATCGCTGATGATAGCAGATTGTTATCATCACCCCTGAGAACTAAGATGGAAAACCTCATTTTCAGGGGAACGGGTCTCAGGTTCTCTACACACACTGCTATTTTACGCTCGTATTTTGTGAGAGCGTGATCTTTACCTCAGTCGAGCCGACCCATTTGTGTTAGAACTAAATATCTGCAGCATGGCTCTACCACGTACACCATTAGTGTCACAACTAAAATAAAACAAACTCGATAAAAATGCGTAATCGTTTATTTTGTAATAAAGCCTTACATTAAGAAATGGTTACAATGAAGGACATAACACAACAATATATATTATTTATATACACGTCAATCGGGGAAATCAGTTCAAAATAAATAACACTCGAGTAAAATGGAAGGGATCAAAACAAGACTGTATTCTCTCATAAATATTCAAGAGCACTAAAAACACCACAACTAGTATAGATTAAAAAAAAACTGGAAAATTGATGGACCCAAAAGATCGATGTACAACCATAAAAAAAATGTCTCTGGACAGTTTAAGGTTATTAAAGCATAGACTATACTTTGAACTAATTCCCGCGACACGAGATCATTAACGTATTAAAAATAATGACATCTAGCGAATTAATCTTAAAAAATAAAATAAACAGAAATTCCGTTATCACTTACTATACATATTTTTAATTTATTAAACCAAATTTTAAACTTAATACTAACGCCTGTATTATATCAGGTTTCTAATATAAACTATTTTCAAAACCAATTTTATATGGCTACAATAAATAGTTTTGGAATAGAAATAGACCGATATGAATGTAATAAGCAAAATATACATACGGACAACTTTCACATACTGTTATAACTCTGATAAATTGTTAATTTACTATAATATATCTAACAGTTGTCAAACGGAGGGTAGACAGAGATAAAGACAGAAATAAAACTAGGAGCGTAAAATATTTTTAAAATCCAATAATTTCTCAAGTATTTTCCTTTCTATTGCGGTAGCCCCTTTTTGCTAAAGAGGTCGTATGAATAAGTACCCTTTTATCTTGGAGAACTTTCAAAATTTTGCAGATAAAAATCCACTTTATAACTAGCAATGTTTGTATAGGAGTGGTTCACGACCGTAGTCGAGTGGCGAATTCGAACCCACGACCACGACCGGGTTTACTATCCGCGGTCGCCTGGCTATCGTCGCTTCAAAAATTGATATGATTGTGCTTATAAGTTGAAATAGAAACTGTGTGTTCTAATGCCATCATGTCTTTTGATAGCGATTTAGTGATTCTAAAGAAAAACTATGTTGAAATTGTATTTTAACATACATACCTATACCATAATGAAAGAGTGTGGATGCTTCATACAAGCGTAAGCACAAACACAAACGCGGCGTTCACTTACAGTAGCACACGGAGAAAATACGTGATATTTAGTACTGCAGTGGGAGGCAATTCAGAAAACTGATGGTTAACATATCGAGCAATATAGTTTGTTTGTTGCAGCTGCATATCTATCATCTACATACAAAATTAAGCCAAATAACACATTACGTAGAGTGAGGACTGCGACGCGTTGAGTGCCGCCATTTTGAGGTCGTTTCGTCACGTGCACGTATTCACGTAAAACACTCGGCAGTGACCACTAAATACGGAGGCGGATTAAATGTCTCTAGCAGCCATATTTATTTTACAAATAAACTATATTATAATTTACAATATAGTTTAATAGTTGCCAAATAATTCGGACTCGAATAACCTTAACAAATGGGAGTGAATAAAAATGCGATGAGAGAGTGAGAGCAATGATAATGAAATAGTCGATTTTTGTTTTCATTTAAAAACTTTCGCGCCGCCCCTATTTAATATTGCGCCCCTAGGCATGTGGCTAGTTTACCTTAAGAATAATCCGCCACTGACTGTACAGCCACACCCTGATTTTTTTCTATGAGACACATGAAGCTGCCGTACTCTAAGTTCACACTGCCTATACTGTCCGTATGGTCAAGGTGTCCGTGTGTACAAGTGATAATAAAAAAATGACATCAAGTGATATATAAGTAGTCTCAGTACACATCTAGTTACTACCGCAAACTGACTACGAACCTACCTTTTGAAGCGTTTGGAAAAGTAAAAAAAATACTTAACAATTATTTTATTGTAAAATTTCAAACTTTCAACTTTGTTCACCAACGCAAGAGGCAAATGTTTACTGGATGATAACTCTTAAAATAATTGGGAGTTATATCAACATCTTCCGAATTTTTAAATAGCCTTCTAAATGGTAGATAAATATGGCAATAAATATACAGTTAAATATACAGTATGAAACAAGCAACTCGGTGGTCCGTATAGGGACGTGTAGATGTATATATAGTATGCCATTTATGTCAGTGAAATCTCTTTTTAACGATATCTCTAGAATTTAAGTTATAAGAAATATATAAAAAAAAATATATTCACACAGTAAACAAAAATCTAATAACATCTGCCACACATTGGCAAACAAAGTTTGAATAGAGATGAGAATAGTAAGAAAATACAAAATTTTAATAGGTATCTTTTTTTTTTCTTTTATATTTTTAATCTATCCATTATACGCAGTCTTTACACAGTGCAATGTCGTTTTATCAAATGAACGCAAATAAAACATGGAAGTACTTCAAGGGAGTTAAGCGCGCAACATAGCACAATATTTCAAGCAAACTCACACATTGAAACTTTGCTGATTAGTTAACAATTTATTATATTTTATTACGCTTCAAGACGCATAGCCAAAAGTTGAACTTACGTATAATATTTGGTTTCAATTGCCGTACATTATTTAAGTCGCTTACAACGTTTTGTAAATGACGCTATTGTACTAGAGACTCGTCGCCAGTGACGTTTTATGTAGCAAGGTGCAATGCAAATTATAATTAATAAGTATTGTGATAATGACGATATTCGATCTAAATTCGTTCGCAGCTCAATATGTGTTAGGTCATTTTGGAGATAGAAATGCTTCCAAGTTTTATTTACTTTCACCAGTTTTTCCATAAGTTGTCTTTATTTTCAGCCTCCTACATAAATTTGTAAACGAAAATATTTTATACAAGTTCAGGAAGAAGTTACGAAGGTTTAGTTAATAAAAATGATATTCATAACCTTAAACCTCCTTTTTTTAACAGAGTACATTTATTTACAACGCCAAAATCCAGCAAAACCTGTAGTCTACACATTAGACTTTTACGGACTGTTAAAGAAAGAAGAGAGAAGTAAAGTGCGTGTGTGTTAAAAAGTAAAATATAGTTTTGGCGTCACTTAAAATTAACACAGCGCATTAGTCAAAGGCAATAACATGCTATCTTGTATATTTATGACAATCTTGGAAACTTTGTCAAAATCATATCATTTTATTAAAATTAGTTTAACACAATGTGTAGTTCTCACGTAATATAAGAAAACGAAATCAAGTTAGCTATAAGATTAAACACTGGGATAACATAATGGTAATATTTTTTTTAATCTGTTTGATTGACACGTAATAAGGTTTTGTCAAATTTGGCGCCAAAAATAACTTTATTTTTTCTTTTAAAATGTTATGTTTTATTACCTATCCAATTTGATTTCTGTGTTTTATAAACATAAATGTCAAACAAAATAAAAATCAAGTATAAAAAATAGACATTGCTATGTGTGACCCTAACTTTCATTCGGATCTCACTTTGAGCATTTATTATGTTTTTTTTTTAATGATTTTACTGCAACTAACAATCCTACGAGACACATACAAATGCTATTTATATATAAAAATGGCTTTCAAATACAGAAATCCTCCTCGCATTTATTTCACTCTGATCTAAGGAACGGTATAGAGTGCTGTCAATTGGCAAAAGATTTGTTTTTTTTTTAAATATCATTAAATAATAAAATATTAAAAATCAAATCCATATAGGATTAATTCTAAAAAGATTTATAAATTTTTCGCTTTGAAACTTAGATCGTTATAACGAAAACGAACAGCTCTCCTTTTCTTACTTTTATCAAAATTATACCCCTCTTTGTAAATCACAATATTTTGTGACAGTAGCAGTTTTTTTTTCTTCAATAAGTCCCAATACCAAGGGACTATTATGTCACAATAATTCTGCCAATGTAAGGTTAATAGCTGTTTTACTAATGTAATTCAACAATTCAGAGTCAAATAAATCGAGAGGTATCTAACATCTATAATATAAAATACTAAATCCTACTGATGATGATCTCAATATACCGTTACGGCTACAATAGAAACGTAGTATCAGTGTTTTGTCACATCGAACCGCCAACGCCAATTACAAAGTGACAGCTCATCTTTTTTATAAATCACCACGACAAAGACATCTATATTGATTCAGCCTAATGAACAAGCTACTCACAGACGACATATAATAAAAATTCCCTAAAATATTTTAGAGTCCCACTTTGTATTTGCCGATGCGTCAGTATAAAAGTGTAAACTTTTGAATTGTGCAGTTAAGTTATAGAATAGTATGATAGAGCTACTATATTTATATATTATTGTTATAAAACTTACATACAAATATACCGTGGTGCAAGATAATTCAAATATTAAATAATTTTGAGTTTTATAATATGTAGATAATTTATTTCGTATCATCACATATAATAAATATATTATTCTTTATCCTTTAAAGTGTAATATTACAAAATGTTTACCCCGCTTAAATCTAACCGAATTCACTATAATCCATGAGTGTATTGGACCTCTCGCTCGCACACACATATGTTACATAACAATTCTAGTGATGTGCGTAAGAGTTAGAGGTATTTATCGAAAAGTAGTATTAATTTTTAACATTGTTTTTGGATATAGGCTCAGTTAATGATGACCAAACTTAGCCAATTTGTACAAGGGTGTATCTTAACATTTATGGTTTCTTTAGATTTTAAATTAAAAAAAAAAACATATATAAAATAATTATGCCACATTTCACTTTATATTATTACAAACTTAAAAAATGTTCTTATAACTACCGATGTATCCCGTATGCGATATACTGTATAGCCGTAAGGTGCAGGATCGCGACTCACACGAAACCTATCTGAATAATGTTCCCAACCAACTCAGTCTTTAACATGCTCTCTAATTCAAGATGATAAGTCTGGGAGGCAGCATTCCTTTCTTGCTCAACCACACACTGTAAGATAAAGATTAAAAAGCATTAAATTAAGTTATAATTTTACTTATATTTCTTTATTTACTTTATTGGAGACAAAACATATAAAAAATTCATACAAAGGAAAATAAAAAAACGGTAATTACAATTGTTTTCTTCAAACTGTCTCTCACTGAAATATACATATGTATATTATGGAGCAGATCGTAAATTGCTATCGTCAGCACAACAAGCAGGTTAACAAGTAAATATAACTATAACTCAAAATGAGAACTATATTTACCTATATTCAAAGTTTCAAATCTCTAACTCATTGGGGGAGTTAGTTGGAAAACATTTCTAAATGAACTAAACCAACAAACAGACAGACAAGAAAGTGAGTTTTTAATGCATTGTCATCCAGTCCTGAGCTATGTCTGTGTATTTTTACGTGGTACGTGGTACGTGGCACGCTGCAGCTATATTATGGTTCTAGCACGAAGGGGTCGGCTCGACCGGGTTAGGATCACGCTCTCACATTATACCAGCGTGAAATAGCAGCTTAATGCTGCTGTGTTTCGTATGCTCAGTGTAGAGAACCGGAGACCCTTTTTACTGGAAACGAGGTATTCCACCTTAGTCCTCAGGGGTGACACCGCATCTGCATTTTGATTCTTAATCGAGGATAAATGTAGATGTCTACAAGCTAAAGTATCCACTTACCATGTGGTATACTCTGTGGGAGCCCCGGTGACAAGTTGTAAAATACTTGCTCCCAACTATTATTTACTTACTTACTTATCTTCACGCACAATCCCTGACGGGGTAGCCAGAGAGAACAGATCGCCAAGTGTCACGATCCTTACATACCTCTTTCACTTCTTTCAGATTCATTATCTTCTTCATACATGCACGTCTAGGTATCCGAGTACTCTTGACCCTACCCTCTTCGAGCAATTTGCTCACATGGTCTTCGAAAGTTAGTCTCGGTCTACCTCGACACCTTTTAATATTAACTTTCGCGCTATATATTTTCTTCACCATTTGGTCTTCACTCATTCGCTCAACGTGCCCAAACCACCGAATTATTATTTAAAAATTAAATATTGTAAATTGATAACATCCACCTCAATTTTGAGTTACAGTTATTAAATACGACTTATTTGTATTTGTGAAATATGTAAGCGTCACAAGTATTTTAATTAAATTGCGTGACCCCTTCATTCAGGTTCAAAAACTTTATTAAACAAAGGGTTATTATAATTTGTAATTAAATAACCAATCGGATGGAAATGATGGAATGTTATAACCAATGGGAATGGCGCATGCTACACACTCGATAATTGTCACGATATTTAACGTGATTTTTATCTTGCAATATTTTGGATCGAATCTTCTACATACTACACACTCGATACTAATCGCGTCAGTACAACGGTAGATTTCATTCACTAAACGTGTACGTTACATAATCCGAAGCCAGTAACGTAATGAGTGACTATAAAAGTAAAGCTTGCGTTGCTATTATATTAGCGATATCATTAAAAATCCGTGTAAAGAGAAAAAAAGGGATGAAGCATTGGCTCCATCCATTTTTTTCTCTTTACACGTCTCTCTCACGTGAATTCTTTAAAAGTTTTTTTGGTCATTCGTTTGAGGTACGGCTGGCACCGCCACCGCATCAAGAAGCGCGTCCTCCTCCATCGCTGACAATGAATACTGACACGATAAATATCGACCAGAGACTAGACACTCGATATTTATCGACGATGCTTGATACAGATCGTTGGATTTCTGGATTTTTAGAAATCCAGCGATTCGTATCACGATCTGTGATATGCTGTACTACACACTTGATAAACATCGTAATCCTTGATTATGATCCAAATATTGTGATAATTATCGAGTGTGTAGCATGCGCCTATGAGGTGATCGCTATCAAGCTATTTCTAATTCGGTTTGTGTAGTTAATTGTGATTACATAATTGTAAGCTATTCTATAAAAAAAAAAAGTCCCGCTGGGTTTCTTGCTGATTCTTCCCAGGACAGAGGTTTTTTCGGAACCAGTGGCAATTAAACAAAAGAGAGACTTTCAATAACTATTATTTATAATCTAGATTGAATAAAAAAAATTTTTGTCTCTGTTTCTGTTTACTGTGTGCTCGTTTGTCTCCCTATACTATAAAAATACGTCTTAGCGTCAGTAATAATAAAAGTCTGTTTCTGTTTCTCATAAGACACAAGAAATTTTCTTATAATGTGCAAAAGGCCTTACAGTGCATTACAGTGTATGTGCGCAGCCTTCGCCTGGAAATCGATTAGGTCTCGAACTTGGCAGACGATAACTCACCCAATGCCGGCGCCCAGCAACAGCGACACGATGTTGGTGACCAACACGGCTGCGATGGCGCCGCGGCTGAACAGGCAAGTGCGACGGACGGACAGACAGTGGCTCTGCAATATAATAATATTACACATTTAATATTCTATGTTAAGTTGTAGTAGCAAACGAAATATTTATTATGGCTGTAGCACGACCAGGCCTCGCCTCTGTCAGTCTTGCCACCTGCGTGAAATAATTACCCCAGAACACAGTCAGGACTAGCGCGTTCTAGGCGATTGAATGTTAAAAAATTTTAACGCTGTTTACGTAAATAGTTTTTTTTTTGTAAATACTAGTTGAAATACTCGTCGACATAGTTTTTGTTTAGTGTTTAGTATACTTAATTGTAGGATAAAATAGTTGATAAAGTGTTAATGTAATTTACTATCTATATATTTCATAAATTATAATTGCAAAACGTCGTTCCTACTATAATTGTTGCAGGGATGGGGATGGATGCCTAGTGAGCAAACAAAAGGATTCAGTTAAATCATTTTTAAGTTACCGTACTAATTATTAATCTTATATATCTATATAATATATATAACGGAGTTTGGATGCTTTTTATACGATAATAGCGCTAAAACACATAATATGTCTAAACTAGATAATATTCAAAATAAAGGTCTTCGAATTATAGGGGGTTTTATCAAAAGTACACCTATCCACATTATAGAGAGTGAGTTAGGCATTGACAATATTTAGCATATGAATACTGTATCGAAAACATGTCTTGGATAGATAATGCTACAATTAAAATACTGAATGATCTTAGTTCTGTTATTAATAATAGATACTGGCACAATAAAAAAAAATCATTACAATTAATAGAATCAGGCGTTACCTTGCGGAAATCCATTATATAAAAGCTTTTAGAAAAATTTACTTCGCGGATATTTGCGAAGTAAATTTTTCTAAAAACTTTTATATATGAAGAGCACCTCCCGCCCTCCCTCAATTGCGTGCACTATCCCCGTCAACACTAATCCCAGCACCGCTACTCCCAACATGTAGACTCTACGGTGGCTGACCGTCAGCCACCGTAGAGTCTACATCTCCTGGCGAAACAGGTGTCCTATTGTCGTCAGTGGTGTGTCTTGCCTAGTGTAGTGGTGTTGGGAGTAGCGGTGCTGGGATTAGTGTTGACGGGGATAGTGCACGCAATTGAGGGAGGGCGGGAGGTGCTCTTCATACTAGATAAGACACATCATTTTATTTTATAACGCGGATATTGGCGAAGTAAATTTTTCTAAAAGCTTTTAAAAATCATTACGTTTACTTGCATACGACTGTAAACTATGTAATATTCACAATTCTTATCTGTTACAAATGTTTAAACTTAATATTTGGGTTTCCTATATAGATATAAATTATACTGTTCAAGCGAATTTAGATTGTGTTCAAAAGAAGAAAAACAGTCATGAAGCTATGTATCTTAGAACCAATGTATTAAAGCAATTAGATGAAAAATATGCTAACTGGCACCAAATCTTTACTGATCGATCCAAAAAACGTGTAGACTCAGGAGCTGCATATTGCCATCTTAAAGAAAAAATTATAGCTATGTTTATAACAGAACTAAGACTATCGATAACGACGATGAAACTCGTTGCAATATCTGAACCTTTGAAATTTATTAGCGATTTAAGTGGACAACATTTTGTTATATATATATATGCTCGATACACCTATGGTTATAGCAGACGTGCACCGATAGCATATTAAACCAATTATATGTTCACAGAAGTCGCTATATAAATATCAACTTGCAATGGGTTCCATCACATATAGGTTTAAAGAGAAACGAAGAGGCTGACCTATTAGCGAAACCAATTTACACGGAAATCTTCACAAAATTCCAAAACCTTTTCGATGAAAGAAGGGGAAAAAGAAATATGATATAAAACAATTCAAAGTCAGCATCTTCAGATACCGTGGTATAATAATATTGAAATAAATAAAAACCATATAAATGCTATTCATAGGTTACGTTCTGGGACTACCCCAATATTTTTTTTAATATATTTTTGATGAAAAAATCAGACTCACCCAATAGCGATATTTGTCACATTATAGATGTCCAACAAATGCTAGCAGAATGTGTCAAATATTAAAGGGAATCTGGTGCAAAAATTTAATATCAATTTGTGTGAAACGGATTGGTTTTTGAGTACTTGCGGAGTCACACCCAGCGGTAGCAAAAGCATTCATTTCCATATTCTTTCCACATTGATTCCCGTTTTCTAAATAGCATTTGTGTCACAGGAACAAGTTATGTTAAGATACTTGTAGGATAAAAGCCTTTTTAAATAAAGATAGATAATTAAAAAGAAATGTTAATCAATTGCAAATATATCACCTGTTGCATTACGGGAGCCGCGAGTTGCTGTTCCAGCACCTCGATGGACGAGGTGGCCGATGGTGGCCCTCGGGCGCTCTGGGGATGTTTAAATCGCCAGTCCCTGGAAAAAAAATAATGTCAATGAATTTTATGGTACTCAACCTCTTTAATGTCCAATCGAATCGCGGACCTTTATTTTGTACTAGCGAACCACCCTGGCCTCACCTGGGTAGGATATAGACATTAATAATAATAATAATAATAATAATTCTTTATTCACAAGACTTAGCCTACAATTACAATGATATGCGTGAATTCGTACTCAAGATTTGTGTAGATATTTGTAATATATTGGCTATTTTTTGCAACAACAAATTAGTCTTCTACCCCCCGTACTAGTAAAAAACTGTATGACGGCAGAGTAGTGCGGCTAGTTCATTGTATTCGAGGCAGTAATTAACTACCTGATTGTATATAGTTTAACCAAATCATTCACATGAAGAAAATATTGCGTTTTTAGTTTTCAAGATGTTATAACTACATTAACAGATCTTAGACTTTTAAGTTATTAGAAAGCATTGTCATTCTAAATTTTGAACAATGATAATAATAAATTACTTATACAATATACATACAAGTTTATATTGTATATTATGCTAAGTATTTTGTACTCTAGGATTATCTAAGTTATTATAAAAATTTCATCAATGATTGCCACCCCTCACAAATAAAGGAGCAACATTACAATAAAGAGAACAAAAGCGATAAATATCTTAAATATATAATTAAACAAAAAAAAATCAAAAAATATAAAAATATTTTAAAATAGTAAAGAATTACACAAATAATAAAAAAATCAAAAAATAAATCATTCAACACTCCTTAATAACTTTTCAGTTAACTCATAGTCAATCGTTTTGAGATATTTATCTATATATTTTTTACAAATGAATTTGTTGCATTTGGATATAGATAAGATCTTATTTAAACGGTTATATAGTAATGGTCCTAGGTACGGAAAAAAAATTCTGGGCAAATCTTGTTCTACAGAGAGGAATATTATAGACAGCAAAAGGCCTTCTTGTATTAGATAATTCTAAAGGTTTGGTATGTTGTTTTATGACTGTGGTCTTAATATACAATTGTCTTACAGTAAGCACGGAGTAATCCTTATAAAGGTCTGAAGTTGGATATCGGAAGTTTCTAAAATTAATTATTTTTATAATTGCTCGCTGAACTCTCTCAACGTGAATTAGATTCGTTTTAGAGGCAGCTCCCCATGCAATTATACCATATGTAGTAATGGACTGGCAAAGAGCAAAATAAACTGCCCTTATCGATGAATAATCTTTAATATGCCTGATTTTTTTAAAAATTGTGATAAGTTTTCGTAGCCGTGAGGTAAGATTGGTAATATGTGGTTTCCAGGTTAAGTTTGCATCAATTAAAATGCCAAGATATTTTATTGAAGTAGCCGAATTTATTTCGTGGCAGTTACAATTTGAAGTTTCTAGAGTGCATGAATGTGCCTTTAAGGTAAAACTGTTATGAGGTGGTTGATCTTTATTATTAATTGAAAAGGATATATATTTTGTTTTAGACAGGTTTAAGGTTAAGACATTTCTGTTAAGCCATTGAACAATAGAAGCTAAACCCTTTTCAGCTACACTTTTTACTTTACTCCACGTGGTACCATGAAATATAACAGCAGTGTCATCGGCAAAAGCAACAGTTTCTGCACTTGTAAGATTTTGATTACATAAATCATTTATATAAATAAGAAAAAGTGTAGGGCCCAAAACAGAGCCCTGTGGAACACCGAAGTGTATTGGTGCATAATCGCTTATGAAATTATTGATTATTACTGCCTGACTCCTATTAGATAAATAATCAGTTAATAGTTCGAGCGGCACCCCCCGAACTCCCATACTTTCGAGTTTATTTAATAAATTAGGAATAGATACAGTGTCGAAAGCCTTTGCCATATCTAAAAAAACTCCTAAGCATTTGTATTTTTTATCCAATTTTCTGCTTATATGGCTAACAAGGTGTTCGATAGCATCGGATGTGGATTTGTTTTCTCTAAACCCATACTGATTACAGGACAAAAGATTTTTGGACTCTAGAAATTTAAGCAAGCGGATGTTAATGACTCTTTCAATAATTTTAGATAAACATGGCAATAAAGCAATTGGTCTATAATTGGAAACACTGTCTCTATCACCCGATTTATATACTGGCACAACGATTGCCCTTTTTAGAACATTAGGGAAGATTCCACTAGCTAAACAGATGTTACATATATGTGTGATAGGTGTAATTAATATATCTATAGCCTGTTTTATAAATATGGAAGAGAGACCATCCCATCCAGTCGATGATGAGTTTTTCAATGACATTATTATTTTACGAACTTCTTGTTCACATGTGGGCAAGAGCATTAAAGATGTTCTATGCAATTTACCTGTATTTGTTGTGGGCGTATTTTTTGCATGTTTATTGCTGCTGCTTGCTATTTTAGTAGCTAGGTTTTGACCTATATTAACAAAATAATTATTTACATAGTTAATTGATTCCAGCGGATTAGACTTTATATTTAATAATTCACTCGGAATCTTACTAGTGGCATTTATATTACATATTTGTTTTATAGTATTCCATGTCTTTTTAATGTCTCCTCGGTTTTCGCTAATTTCCTTTCTTTCATAAATTCTCTTAAGTTTCTTTAATAAATTGTTGCAGTAGTTACGATACCTAGAATAAGTTATTTTGAGCACATGATCCTTTGGATTCATCCTGAGTTTTGAATGTAGAAATATACTTTTTACTAAAGTCAAAAAATTATGAGTTGCAGTATTCGGGTCATCATTACTAGTAATTATATTCCAGTCAAAATTGTTTAATTCTGTTAGAACTGCAATATAATCTGTTCGCTTTATATATTTCTGTTGTTGTGGTTTTGAGCAAAACGGATTATTTATTGAAGCAATGATTGTGCTATGATCCGTAACAGAAGTCTGGTAAACTATACAATGGCATTTAAAGACTGATTTAGCAAAGTAATGGTCCAAACAGCTATTTCCACGCGTTGGATAATTATGGCCCGCAAGAAGACCATGCATAGCTAATAAGTTTAGGTAAGCATTACACTTTTGGTCATTATTATTGTCTGTAATATCAATATTTACATCCCCTGTCAAAACAATATGTTTATATTTTTTGAGCTCTGACAATAGTTGGTCAAGAGATGTAGTAAAAGTATCAATGGATGCAAAAGAGGGAGATCGATAAATACAAACAAAAACATATTCATTATTAACATTGATCACTAAGCTATCGGCTTCTCTTAGATCAGGTTCACAAACAGACACCTTCAAAGAATTTTTAGCATAAACAACTACACCGCTGCTTTGATTTACATGTTTATTTGTTTGAAAACTTGTATAACCATGTAAAAGTGGAAGTTCGGAAGCATGTGGTAACCAACATTCAGTCAATATAATCAGGTCAAAGTCTATTTTTAACATGGTTAACAGAATTTGAAAATCTTCAAAATTTTTATTAATGCTTCTAATATTTTGTACTATCATCTTTATTCCAAGCTGAGAATTTAGAAGTTTGCTACATTCATCGGGATCATCAACCAGGAATGAATTACCAATAATGACGTTCTTGTCAACGTCATCAATAAAATGATCTAATTTATTAGCCATTTTCAAGGGAAAGGTTTAAGAAATTAATTTTAAGTATTCCTGGTTGATACCGATAAAATAATAGCGTAAATTTTGACCTTACCGCATACTGAAACCATGAAGAAGTGTTGAATCCTATGTTTACTCTAAACGATTGGTGATATAAAGATAATAAAAAACAGAAAATTAACAATGAATGGTAGATTTTGTATCTATATAGTGAATAAGATAAAAACATATATAGTGAATAAGATAATACTATGATTAGCATGCAAATTATGAGCAAAAAGCTCACCGACTTAATGTATAGTCATGCTTGAATAATCTTGGTTTTTAATTGATCAAGCTGAAAAAACGATCTGACATGAATTGCTGGTAGTCCTTCCTTTTTGCGTATCATAATTCTACCTTCAGAAATCCAACAGAATTTGTATTCACCATTTTTTACAAGTTGACGCGCCGAAAAGTATAATTTTCTTGCTGTAGCTGTTAACGATTCCGAGATATATACAGGCGCTTTATTAGTTCCTAGTTTCACGTTTCACTGTTTATTTTATCTGGAGAATTATTATTAATATTAATGTGGCGTTAATTACATTTAAGATAATTATCAAAGACCATTTATTATTTTCCTTTAATAACTCTTTCGGATACAAGTGGTAAAATTAAAAATTTTGTACAATCGACTTCAATATAAATAAAATAACATCATCAATGTAGTTGAAGTCAATTAAATACGCATTATTAAGGATAACTCAAAAGCTACTGGTGAGATCTTGATCAAATTTATATGGGACCACATGAAGGGCACCAGCTTTTAAATAAAATCATCAAAATCAGATCACCTAGAAAAAAGTTCTGAGGCAACACACAAAAAAAATACAACGAATTGAGTATCTCCTCTTTTTTTGAAGTCGGTTAAAAAGTATCGAACATATTATACGGAAATACATTTACCTAATTTAGGAGTCATGAATGTGGACTTGATCAACGAATAACCACGCTCTCACAGAACACCGGCTTAATGCTACTGTGTTATGAGTGACGATAATCAATGACACTGGCAACGAGGCATTTCATCTCAGGCGTGACAACGCATCATCCACAGCATCCGGTAAGCGGAGCGTAAGTTGGCAGGCAAGGCTAGCATGGGCAAGAGACAATTTTATCCCTGGGGAAAGGAGAAAAGGTTTATCTGCTCGCTTAGTTTTATCCACCCTTCGAACATGGGGCACACCGGTGATGATAATATCCAAAGTAGATAAAATGGTAGATAGACTTAGATAGATTTTTTGTATGAATATAAACTTAAACCCACGTCCAATGAACTAGGATAAAATTGTCCCTTTCAAAGGTCAAAAAAGCATAACTTTTTATCTTTCATTTGGCTCCATGCTACGGACAGGGGATATATTATGTCTACTCGTTATGTCAAACGGTAATGTACTTCTCCTAGTCGCCGTGCTTTGGCATAAGAATAAGATAATTTTTTCTCTTATCAGTGGATATAATCGGGGGATAAATTTTTTGTCCCCAGGCCATGCTAGCTGGTAAGACATGCAGGTAGATAGATGCATAATGGATGCCCATTTCCAACGGTGTAACAGTTGATTGCCTGTGTGTTTCCTGCGATGAATGACGAGAAACTGGGACTCTTTTCATAAAGGCATTCAATCTTAATCCTCGGTGTTGGCAACACAATTGCATTTTGATTTTCTTAATCGAGGATTGATGTATCTATCTGTCACATCAATAACTTATCATCAGGTTACACCTGTTGCAATAAAATGCATATAATGCATGCAATAACACAGTATGCTCATTTTTATTGCACACTTAATTACGTGGAGCGACATTAGATAGTGCTTTACTCTCGACACGTCAAGGTCAAGCAATTTTGTTTTCTTAAAATACCTCTATCATAATTTTATACGTGGTGGAGCCATGCTGCAGCAATCTTAGTTGTATAGTTGTAGCACGAATAGGTCGGCTCGATCGGGGAAGGACCACGCTCCCACAGAATACCAGCGTAAAATAGCAGCTTAACGCTGCTGGTGTTTCGTATGGTGAGTGTAGGGAACCGGAGACCCTTTTTACTGAAAACAAGGCATTCCATCTTAGTCCTCAAGGGTGACAAAGCGTCTGCATCTTGATTCATAATCGAGGATAGATGTAGATGTCTATAGGCCACAGCAACCACTTACCATCAGGTGAACTATGTGCTCGTTTGTCACCTTTATTATATAAAAAAAAAACATATTGCACTTACGGTAATATGAGTAGCCGTATATCAACAAGTGAGATGCGGAAAGTAAAGACTGTGCAAGAACCTTCGAAGGAGGCGGAGTTAGAGCCGAAAAAAGTCTATACTTCCAAAAAATAAGAATTTTAATATTTGTTTTGGCCATTTGACCCCCTAGGCCCAAGGAGTGTAATGAGAACTTTTTGCCCCAATTCAAACATGACCCTCATGACATCCTCTACATGATAGGCTATTCAAACTGACTGTTCCTAAAGTTCGAGTCACCCCCCAACTCATTTCTAAAGTCGTTACTTCCAAATATCAACCATATTGCACTTATACGATAATAATACGAGTAGCCATCAGCTAAATGTGTATAAAGAAGGAAAAATGTCCACTTACTTGGGCGGCAACTGGTCAGGTCTGCTGCTCCACTCCCACACCCAGTCGTTGGAGTCGTCCTGGAAATAAGAGGTGTTCTTCATTTATTTATTCTTCATAACCGTGTAGTGGCAGTGGTAGTATATTCACTGCCCCATAGCGTCTCGTCGGTGTCGTAGGAGGCGACAGAAGGAAACAAACCAGGAGATGTGCACGTCCGATAACAATACTAGATTATAAAAAAAAAATTGCGACACTGACAACACTGGCGAAAGACAGAAGACTGACAAAATCCCCAATAAGGCAACCTATGGGGGGAAGCTCATGTTCAGCAGTGGACTCTTTATGTTGTAATGGATGGAAAACAGTGAGGCGATAAACAAATGAGATTAGCAGCATTTTATTATTGTAAAATTGTACTGTATATTATTTAATATACTAGCTGACCCGGCGAACTTCGTACCGCCTAACAGTGGATTCTTTATTATTTTCAATACTTATTCTGCTAATCGGGACACCGGGTCAGCTAGTAAGATAAAAAAAACTTTATATGCTGTAATGGATGGAAAACAGTGAGGCGATAAACAAATGAGATTATCGGCATTTTATTATTGTAAAATTGTACTGTATATTATTTAATATACTAGCTGACCCGGCGAACTTCGTACCGCCTAACAGTGGATTCTTTATTATTTTCAATACTTATTCTGCTAATCGGGACACCGGGTCAGCTAGTAAGATAAAAAAAACTTTATATGCTGTAATGTATGGAAAATAGTGAGGCGATAAACAATTGAGATTATCGGCATTTTATTATTGTAAAATTGTACTGTATATTATTTAATATACTAGCTGACCCGGCGAACTTCGTACCGCCTAACAGTGGATTCTTTATTATTTTCAATACTTATTCTGCTAATCGGGACACCGGGTCAGCTAGTAAGATAAAAAAAACTTTATATGCTGTAATGGATGGAAAACAGTGAGGCGATAAACAAATGAGATTATCGGCATTTTATTATTGTAAAATTGTACTGTATATTATTTAATATACTAGCTGACCCGGCGAACTTCGTACCGCCTAACAGTGGATTCTTTATTATTTTCAATACTTATTCTGCTAATCGGGACACCGGGTCAGCTAGTAAGATAAAAAAAAACTTTATATGCTGTAATGGATGGAAAATAGTGACGCGATAAACAAATGAGATTATCGGCATTTTATAATTGTAAAATTGTACTGTATATTATTTAATAATAAATAACAAAAATTAAAAAAGAATGGATGGATGCGTCAACCACACACAGGGAAATGAGGGCTAATAATTTTCTGCTCACCAGATTCCGCTAGTTAACACTGAGGTAAAGTTTTTGGTTACACAATGTAATTTAATTGAGAACTTAGTTTTAAATAAAAGTTTATCAGTTGCCAGAGTATTATATTAATATACACAATTTCTCAGTGATTTGATGTTTCATTTGTTGCACATTTTTAATTTTTTTTTTAAATATTTCTACTTTTATGAATATTTGGTTGGTTGGTTTTGTGTGGGTTGGTTTATTTAGTTTTAATCTTATTAATACAAAATATAATAAACAAGCTAGTAATACAGAAAGAAACATTAAACTTTACATTTTCCGAACAAATTAACTTCCCCGCTATGAAATCTGTCAAATATTACCCTACCTCACTTTTATGTGGAGCCGTCCTGGTGGCAGAAAAAGTCGTGGATCATTCATCTATGCATTATGGTGTAGAGAAGGCGTTACTTTTTATAGAAGTAACATTGACAAACGAGCATAATAATACAGTTTACGTAATGGTAAGTGACGCTGTGGCCCACAGACGTCTGCCGTCAATAAAATCCATTCAATCGTTTCAGAGAAGTCGGTGAACTAATCATAAGGTAAACATACGCGTCGAATATAAAACCTTCTCGTTTTCTGTATTTCATTAATAAATAGAAATCGATAAGTATAAAATCGGCAATGGGACATCACTAAGTGTTTTTTCACCGATTAGAATATTTCACTTTAGTAAGTTATTTATATAAAAAAATAGACAAATCCGTGATGGCTCAGGAGTTAAGAGCTAGCCGTAAATTTCACAGCACGCGAGCAACCTGGGTTTGCATCCGGATTGAAACCAATAAAATTTTTCGTTGCTATTTTAAGTGCTGATTTACCACGTGCTTGCCGGTGAAGGAAAACATCGCGAGGAAACCCGCATGCCTGAGGAATAAAATGTTTCAAAGACATGTGAAATCCGCCAGCGCGCACTGAAGCAGCGCCATATCTTGTCACTTTTTCTTGAAACTGTTTTGGAACGTATATTTGTAACTTTATCTTTCAGCTTTATTAGAAAGGCTATTATTATATCAAAGAATATATCAATGAAAATAACCCCTGGGAATGAGGTGAACACCACCATGCTGGTTCTATTAAAATTCATTTAAATTGTACAAACAAAATTATTCTAAAGTGAAATATGTTTAAAAAAAAGATCTGCTGGGTTTCTTGTTGGTTCTTTCCAGAACAGATGTATTTTCCGAACCAGTGGTAAATAAAAAATACTTTCAATAAGTATTATGTAATAATCAATATTGAATAAAAAATATTATATTTTATTCTATTCTATAATGTGTGTATGTTTGTTTAGCCGACTACAGAATCGGGAAAGGACGAATTTTTATCGACCAAATTGTTTATATATTGAAGATGGGCCAGATTAGGAGTACTCCTTAACTGACGAGCGTGTATGCGTAGGTATGGATGTCAAGGTTTACGTGGTAGAGCTATACTGTGGCTATATTGTGGTTGTTGCACGAATGGCTCGGCTCGACCGGGGAAGGACCACACTTTCACAGAATATCAGCGTAAAATAGCAGCTTTATGCTGCTGTGTTTCGTATGGTGAGTGTAGAGAACCGGAGACCCTTTTTACTGGAAAATAGGTATTCCATCTTAGTCCTCACGGCTGACAACTCATCTGCATTTTGATTCTTAATTGAGGATAAATGTAGATGTCTTTGGACCACAGCAACGACTTGCCATCAGGTGGACTGTGTGCTCGTTTGTCACCCTTATTCTATAAAAAAAGAGGTGTGTCAGGATAATGGCAAATGGAAGTCCGTAGTCTCTGCCTACCCCTCTGGGTGACGGGCGTGAGTGTTTATGTATGTATATGTATGTATGCTTACCTTCCAGCAGTTAATGTAGACACCTTTGAGCTCGTCTTCAGTAGACGGTTCCAGGTTCGGACTGTTCGGCGGAGACTTTGGACTGTGGACAACAGGTATACATTAAACTCTTAATACCATTGCTAAAATGCAGTTCGAATAATGTAAAATTGCAGTTGACATCAGTTGTGCTTAGTGTTATTATAATGGCGGCGCCATTTAAAAATGAGGTGTAATATTTGACAAATTTCATAGCGGAGAAGTTAATTTGTTCGTAAAATGTAAAGGCTAATGTTTCTTTCTGTACTATTAGTTTTATATATATATATATATATATATATATATATATATATATATATTATATTAATTACATAAAAGTAAAAAAAAAATAAGAAAAGAGTTAAAAATGTGCAAAAAATTAAGGAGCAAACAACTGAGGCATTGTTTGGTGTATAAATAATATAATACTCTAGAAACTGATGAACTTTCAATTTAAACTAACTTCTCCATTAAATATCATTGCATAACAAAAAACTTAACCTCAGTGTCAACTAGCGACATCTGGTGGGTGGAAGATTAATAGCCCTCATTGTGCACTTGACATATTTATACATTTTCCTTATTTATATTGATAAATTACGTTTAATATACGTTCCCCCTACTAGCACGACCTATTTAGCATAGCTCCAGCATTCCAAGCGTTGCCCAATTGCGCTTTGATTGCAATAAATACGTGACCGCCGTCACCATTGCATTTATCGTGCATTGAACTCGACATGACGCATCTTGATTGCGCTTCCTTTAACAATAATACGAGTACTCAAGTGTTGAATTGTAAATAAAACGTGGCGTGCCTCAAGGATGCGTGTTATGACCTGTACTATTTATTTTACAGTGCGCTAGCCCCTAACACCTTAGATATAATATCTAATATAGCTATAGTTTATTTTGCAGTATATTAGCATGCTTAAAACCTTGTTAAAATGTAATTTAAATGCTTGTAGATACATAAATCGACAACACATATTTCCAGTTAATAGATTGCCCGACACCCTGATCAATATTTGAGGAAAACAGTTGAGTAAAGATAGTCTTTAAGTATTGTTTTTATGATAGGCTATATGTACATATAGTAAGGATAACTATCGAATATTATCAGGGGCTGTAAGGCATATATTATCTGTGACCAATCGATATATTAATACGGAGAGAGATATTTTAGTGGCACTTTTTAAGGTTTTATAATGAGAATATCATCTATCTAGATGAAGAGAAAAAAGTTATATATTACACGTGTTTTAATCTAATGAAATAAAATATAAATAAATCATTGTTTACGTTGATACTGCGTCAATTGTCACACACATTGAAGTCTATGGTCAAACAGTTCTGTAACTCGAAGTCACGCACTGTACCATTCGATATGTAATACAACACGGAAACTGAACCGCATCGCATCGCTTACGGTAGATCCACACCCTCGTATCAATTACCTTGACTACACGTAGCGGGATAGAATTACGAAGGTCAAGTGCCCGAACACTGGTGGAATATAATATAGTGTTAAAAAAAAACATGACAACGTCACGGTACTGAATTGAAGCCCGAGGTCAGAGCGGAGTATCATGTTAAACTTTTTGGAAGTGATCGGATTGCAACATGGCTTGGCGGTTACTACGTGCTATATTTTTTTTTATAGAAGAAGGGGCAAAGGAGCATGCGGCTCACCTGAGTATCGATCGACCGCTGCCCATTACCAACAGGGGGAATTAGTTAAAGTCGTATAGTGGCAGTGTAAGAATATCCACTACCGTATACCGTCCAATATCATCCCGTAGGAGGCGACAGAGGAAAACAGCAGCAGGGCAGCAGCGTCTTCCTAATAACGACTAAAAATAAACTAATGCGGTTGCCAATTGTTTGCCAAGCATGGCAACTATGATACTTATCCCGTAGTATTCAGCAATAGACTTTAATAGTCTGTAACGGTAACGGTGCAACGTGAGTGGAATAATTTTTTTTTATATGAAAAGGTTTCAGCAACGTTAAGCTGCTATTATAAAGTTTAACGTTTATACGTGATAGAGCCATGCTGCAGCTGTATTATTAGCATAGTTGTAGCACGAATGGGTAAGCCTCGAGCGGGAAAGGAACACGCTCTCACAGAATACCAGCGTAAAATCGCAGCTTGACGTGCTGTGTTTCGTATGTTGAGTAAAGATAACCGGAGACTATTTTTACTGGAAATGAAGCATTCCAACTTAGTCCTCACGGGTGACAACGCATCTGCATTTTGATTCGCAAACGAATATAGATGTAGATGTCTATGGGTCACAGCAACCACTTACCATCAGGTAGACTGTGTGCTCGTTTGTCATCCTTATCAATTAAAAAGTATTAATTTCCCTATGATAATTAGAGTAGTATATACGATATAAGTTTCATCATCCTCATCATAATTACAGCTCTTCACAAGTCTACTGCTGACCATAGGCCTCCCCCAAGGAATGCCATAGATCACGGTCCTGAGCCACCTGCATCCATCGACTTCCTGCATATCTTACCAGGTCGTCACTCCATCTAGTAGGGGGAGGCCCTACACCTACACTGCCGGTACGAGGCTGCCACTCGAGAACCTTTCTTCCCCATCGGTTGTCGGTTCGTCGAGCTATATGGCCGGCCCATTATGATTTCAGCTTACTAATCCATTGGGCTATGTCGGTTACTGTGGTTCTACTGCGGATATCTTAATTTTTAAGTCTACACGCAGAGAAACCCCGAGCATTGCCCCCACATAAGTGTTACTACACCTTAATAATTTTCCAGTTCTCAAGCCTTAGTATACATTAATCTATTCTAATAACAGGGAATATTTTTTAATATAAATTTATTTAAATTTAATATTCTAATTCTAGTAGATTCTGTTAAAACAACAGTCTGCCGTTTAAAGTTTAATTATACTACTCTCTATAAACATAAAGACTTGTCTCAGAGCTGTGAATGCCTGGTACCGGTTTATCTAGTTTTGCGGGATGCCAGAAACAGAAAGCTAATACCCCAAGCTCTTGTATACAATGATCGCCTAGTACACGTCCGAACGATGAGTGAGAGTGGTCAGCGGCGTAGCAAAGGAATTTTAGCAATTGTGGACGATAATTACTGATGTGTACTTTTTAAATCCTCTACTTTTTACACTTTAGCTTATTATGAACTAGCTGTTCACCGCGACTTTGCCCGCGTGAATATTTTTTTTGCGCGAAACCATAATTCTTTCCCTAAAATAAAAGTAGCCTAAGTTACTCCTTATAACATCAGCTATCTCTGCCAGTGAAAGTCCCATCAAAATCGGTTCACAGGTTTCTTTTTTATAGGATTACAGTGACAAACGAGCGCACAGTCCACCTGATTGTAATTGATTGCTGTGGCCCATAGACATCTACACATATCTTCGATTACGAATCAAAATGCAGATACGTTGTCACTCATGAGGAACTAAGATGGAATGCCTCGAATATACGAAACACAGCAGCAATAAGCTGCTATTTTACACTGGTATTCTGTGAGAGCGTGATCCTTCCCCGGTATACCAGTAGTATTGCTGCAGCATGACTCTACCACGTAAAAACGTTCTAGGCGTAAAACTTACACTTACTAAAAGTGCCGGCGGGGATCAAACTTGGGTTTGCTCGCATACTGTGAAATTTACAGCGAGCGCTAACCATCTGAGCTACCATGGCTCTTTCGTTGTCTTAAGCCGCCTCCACATGCTTGATGTTTGCCACAAACACCAAGAATCCAAAAACGTGTCAAAACACCGACCACAATCGGCCAACACAAACACGGCATCCCCGCGCTGGGCGAACGTGCTAGTATATTCCGGATGGGCAAACATGGCGGACAACGAGCTCGTGGCAACGATTACTTTCAGGTTGACTAATTTTTATTAAATAAAGGCAAAATAAAAATTAAACAAAAACAACATAAAATGCACCAGTACCTAAATACACAATGGCACAGCGTATAGTGATAATAAATAATAACCACTAGTAACTCTGTCCACCGCTCGCACTTACTACTACTGATTGCCAAGCGTTTGGATACATCGCAAACACGTTTTTCGAACAGCCTTTAATTTGTGCATAAAAACCGCCACCGACGCCGGTCACTGGCAAACACAAACAAAAACAGGCAAACACACCCATCCATACGTTCGTGTTTGTTGTTAGGTGTTCGCAGTTTGCCACCTGGTTTTAGAGAAATTTTATCTAGACATTCTGCTATCCTAGTTAGTAATGCACCCGGGTTGCTCGAGTAAATAAATTTAAAAAAGTCTTTAAAGCTTCCACGGTTCTGGCCTAATAGTAAAATTATAGCAGTTATAGCCAGTATTCTGCTCCAGTGCGTTGGTGAACTTCGCCCGCCATGGATACATTTTATTCCTTCGACATTATGCTATTCTAGTTAGTAATGTACCGATTCTGTTGTAATCTTAAATTTAGGTTCCTTTGGCGCTTAGCCCCCTCCCCTCCTCGGTTCTGGTCTAAAAGTTACAACATATAAACGTCCCACAGATGGGCGCAGATCGTCTCTCATTTCCATTCTGAGAGGGTTATGAAACAAATCAGTACTTCTACAGTGCGTGTTGATGGACTTCGGCTGACCGGGGAAATTTTACTCCTCGGACATTCTTGTATCCTAGTTATCAACGTACCCGGGTGGGGTTGTTCGTTCGTTCGTCTTCGTTGTACTACCAAAATACTAACGTACTCGGTCTAAAAGTAAAATTAAAATAAAATTACAGTCTGTAAACGTCCCACAGCTGGACGCAGGTCTTCTCTCATATGCATTGTGAGAGCATTATTAAACGATTAGTCCGGCTCCAGTGCGTGTTGGTGGACTTCTCTTGAAATTTTATTCTTCGGAAATTCTGCTATCCTAGTAGTACCTGTTGCTAGAGTACCAGGTGCTTAGCCCCTCAGCTTCCAAGGTTCTGGCCTAAAAGTGAAGTTACAGCCTACTTACATCCCACCGCTGGGCACAGAACTCCTTTCATTTTTGTGAGAGGGTTTTTAGGGCTAGGAAATGTCCGACACGCTGCCCTTC